TGTGCGGCTGTTGGCGTTTCCTTGTAGTCCGCCTATGTTGCAAACCCGGCTTTAGAGGCGGACCTGGGGGGAATCGAAGGGTGGGGGGGGGGCCCCCCCCCCTTGAAAGGCGGACCGAGACATAACCGGCCCAAACTCTTGCACTTGCACCGCTCGCCCCCTAATACTTGCTACGCAAGGGGGAACTCAGGTAGCTCACCGCTACCTTTCGAGACTTCAAATGAATTCAAATGTTAGGTTCATCTTGTCCATCCCAATAGGCATTGTAATCATTTGATACTCTATGTTCTGCAAAGGCCTGAATTGCTTGATCTTTTGTTTGATGACTTTGATGCTTTTTGCATCTCACAAACTGTGAGCTGATCTCCTTGCAGTCTTTGGTTTCTTGAAAGCCCAAAGATCGAATCTGACATAGGCTACCGCTGCCAGAAGCACTGGCACTGACCCCATGCCTCCCGTCGAAGGAACACAGCTGGGTGTCACCAAAACAATTGGAGCGCTAGCATTGCGCTAGCTTCATCTTGCTTCTTGCAGAACATCCAGAATATCATCCAGAAAGCCAAAGCCACTACCGGTAGCGTCATCTAGCGTCCGAATGCAAAGTCTAATGGTTTAACTTGGTGAGAGCCAGCCTTGCCATTGAAACCATATGGTGATTGTGGCCCCAAGTCTTGACACCGATCGCCACTTTGGTTGGTCTGGTGACCCCAGGATCGCCTAAGTTTCCGGTGAGGAGGGTGTAAGGATTGACATTTCATGCGTGATGGTGTTCAAATTCTCAAGAATTCTCAAGATTGTTTTGGGGTGTTAAATTCTGGTGCCTTCTCCATAATCTACTTTTGCCGCCTTCCTCTGTATCCAACTATGTCCAGTTGAAAGCGCTTGTCGCTTGTCCTCTACTAATATCTGAGTTGGGGTATTTAAAGCATGATCTCTTTCGAGATTGACTGCAGACATCTGGAGACAAAGGACTTTCCCAGACCTTCTGGTCCTTGAGCATCTTGAGCTTCCGTTGTCACTGCTCCCAATCCTCCCTTGTGAAGAGTTTAATCTGGGGCTTTCCCACCTCCAAGCACTGAGTCTCCTGACCATCCATTTGTTCAGACAGCTGATGGTACTCATGCTTCTGATGGCTGGGCAAAGAGTTGAAGAGCATCGTCAACTTCGCTCGCAAGGACTTTGCTTGCTCATCCACAAGACCTCAGCTGCCACCAAATTATGACCACCTCAGCTCACCTCGTCCAAATCTCGTCCAAGCCTTGGCACCCCCAAACGGTCAGAGGTCAGAATTTTCGCCGAAGGGCGTACTCTGGCACCTTGTTTTCGCATGTCTACAGCACGCTGGTCCATGAGATCCTCGGTCACACTGCAACTATCCCCAAAGTATGCTGGTCTCATATTAATCAACACCTGGAACCCCATATTCCCAGTCTTGTGAATACGGCTCTTTAAAAACATGTGCTGTTTACGTTGTTTTCCCAATTTCGAGCTGATGCCGGGAAAAAGGTTCTTCAATTGGTGCCGAGCTTTGTAGGACTCCCAAGTAAGCGGGTAGGAATAGGTGGGCCATATGGATATTCATGAACCACGTCGTACCAGGTTTGAGAGTTTTGACTGATTTCCAACTGCCTGTGCAAATGGTGCAATTTGAACCTGTTGGATCGGCGTCGGTTTCGGACTCGAAACCATGGATTTTCGCAAAGCAAATGACTGGAATATTACTGGATAAACCATGATAAACCCATAGTTCATAAACAGAATGCTACGGCTTTCGAGGCATGTCTACGTTAAGACATAGTCAGCAATAGACTACAGCTATGTATGGGGAATTTACATACACCTATAGGCCTAGTATGGTGCTCCCTCAGCAGCGAGTCGCAATGATGGCCTCAGAGGTTGAAGGATCAAGTTCCTCATGTTCAGTGATCCTTGGTGCGGGAGAGGCGTATGGCAAAGTGATATTATGCCATCGTGGTGGTGGCAGCTCAGGTCGACCTACAACGATGGCTTCACAGTTTATCCATCACTACAGGTTGCGTCTTATCAACATCGAGATTTCAGCAATTTATGTCTCGACATGTCTCGACCTGAAGTCATTCCTAGGCTCAGCAATGCCACTTCCTTGCCGCGAATTCGAGAAAGTAGGCCAGCCACCAAACCCAATCGATAGGAGCAAACCTTCCTTGTCCGGCACAAGATAGAAAAGCGTGCAGCTCATACTGGACAGGGTGTGTTTACAATGAAGCACTGACTCAAAGATACGACTCAAAGATACGCCTGCTCTGTTGTTTCTCTTCGCGAGGAAAATGGAGGATCTCCATGAAGTGGATTAAATGGTGCTTTGCTTGGCCAGATTCACCAAGCAACAAGCTCAAAGAGGAATAAAGGATTAGAGCGACAAGACTAGCCAGCTACTGACAGGGATCAACGCAACAGAAAACAACGCAGTCAGGTAGCTGAAGCATCTTGGTGGTCATAATCTTTCCGAAGTCGGTGGCTAAGGCGGCAAGTGGAACCTCAGGATGTGTAGGTCGGAACACTCGTGAACATACAGATCACACACATCAAAACGAGGCAAGGACAGGCGTTGAGTCCCTTGAGTCTAAATCGAGACAATCGTTTCCGAGTAAGAGCTCCAACAGGCTCTTTTCTGCTACAAAGGATCTAAACAAATACACAGCTGCAAGCTGCAGAAAAGGTGCGATGAAGGACACAATGTTGAGACAAACATCACTCAAACTGCTCCCGAAGCTCTCACCCTGCAATTCGCAGTGAAGCCAAACAGACTACTCGAGGCCGCATGACACCAAAGCCAAAGGGCATACTCCAGATTAGTATGGCATAACACTCTAGCAATCTTTGCATGTTCTCGATATTGTTTAAGATGAACTTGTCATTTGATGCCAAGTTTTTTCTCGGTCTATGGCCTTCATGTGGAATCTTTGATGTCTCCCGTAGAATCTCCACGGCATCCCGGTTTATGCCTACTGTATCCTACTGTGATCAAACCTGCTCGGCCTCTTTGATGTAAATCATAACTTGGATGCCAGACCAAAATGCATGGCTGAATCATGCTGAATCTGTTGGAGATTGAGCGTTAAAAAAATCGCTTGCTCAATTAGCTGCTGTTCAGTTGCAAGAATGCCTGAAAACTTAAAGCAATCAGTACGCGACTCTGCATTGTGGTTTCATGCTCCAGGATTTGAATCCGCAAGTATGCTATGATGTTTTTCTTCTGCCATGCAATGTCCCATTCTCAACCAAATCCGGCCTTCACGAGGTAGTTCAGAAGAGGGTTTCCAATCCAGTAGGTCAGCAGCAAGCCGAAAGCATCACACTTGGCCCTGTGAAGCGAGCCATACTTGTCATAGATGATGCCAACCAAAATGCCTTGGACTGTGACTGGCTGACGAAGCAAACGACAGAAATTCAGACATTTTTTGCGCGTTTTGCTACCGGGGTAATCTTCAAAATGAAGAACCTGATTCTCAATTCTCAAGGTCCCGTTTCCAGCAAACACCCAAGCCCTCTGACACTCTGAACCGTTGCCAAGGAGCCATAAAGAACCTGAGCCAGAGTTGTCAACATCTGCACTACTCAGGAGCCATGCCAATGACGGATGCCTTTTTTGATCTTTTTTTGCTGTCTTTGACGATGTGCGCGAGCAAACTGAACGCAAAGCGAATTTAGAAATCATCAAAGCTGCACTTTGTTCACTTTGTTCACTTTGTTCAAGTACAGCCTTCCCACGAAAATGACGCGATTTCCTGCTCATCCCAGGGCTCTCCAATATGGACCTGGACGCTAAAGCACCGGATCCCTTGATTTGGCCCTGGCCCATCTGGCCCGTCAGACTTCAGTTTCATTTCGCAGTCACACACCATCCTCGTTCCTGCGGGAAGCCACACACTGTCCTCAATTAGGCGCACATAAGTAGTTGACCAAGTCGTCTCTGAACGCAAAGTGTCAATTGATGTGAATTCATCCAACTCAATCAGTAAGTGAAAGTGCAAGCCATTGAAATTGCCTTCCTTTGCAGTCACAAAAGTTACCCGACGTCTCTGGACACAGTCTGATTTGCCAAACTCATACCATTCAAAGGGTTGTGGTTCTGCCAGAAAATAACTAGAATCAAAACATCTGGCATGATACTTCACCTGTGTTCGAATGCCAACTTCTCCATTGAAATGAGCATTCAATACGTTTTCCAGATCGCTCGGCTTCAAAGCAACAGTGGGTGCAAAGAGTGTTCCAGCAGCTCGTGGTATGAAAACGCAGTTTGGGCTGCACACTCCTCTTCTCACAAGCCCGTCTATGGTTTCGGCAACACCCTCAGAGCTAGCGATGTGTCCCAGAACCTCGTGAATTACGAGCTGATACGGCCCGGCCAAAGAGGAAGGGGAATGTCCGGAATGTCCACATTGTGTCAACAACTTGATTTCACTTCTCACTTCGCTTCTCTCGCTCTGGTTTCCCAGAGAAAGAGTTACGGCATAAGTTGTCTCTGAAGCATGTGCTGTAAGTTCCTTTGCTTGAGCCTCTCGGCCGATCAACGGGAATGGACTGACCATTTGCAGAGACTCCTTGATGTCTTCATCAAACTCTTCAAGATTTGAGCAGAATTCTCCTGCAGCACTTGAACTGCTTGAACTGCTTGACAGTCGAACTTCGGCTTGGAAGAGTTGAGTGGCATGGCTCCAGGCAGCGTGGTTCACCTCGACTGCATGAACTTCCTTGGCTCCTGCTGCCAAGGCCATACGACTCAGGAAGCAAAAGGCTCCGGAGCCCACATCGAGAACACGGATGGCACTTGCTTCGCTGGCGTCGACTGCATTGCTTGCCAGAGCACGGCGGATCGCATCCCAAAAAGCAGCGACCCGGACCCGGTCTGAAATCATGTCTGTGTGGTTCTGCAAACTATATTCAGAGTTCTGTGTTTCAATGCCTCGACCCTTTGAACTTCTGGCCTGCAAAATACAGCAGCCCAATTCTCTGGCTATGTCTGTCGGCTCACAGGGCGTATTTGGATTAGTCGCTGGAAAATCCTTCAACAAGTCCAAAAGTCTTTCTCTGACTTCAGAGGCCAACAACGACTTGTGGCGTCGCCAAAACTTGCGAATGCTGTCTTCGTCGTGACAGCCAGATACTTTCTGCATTCTATGCCAGCTCCGCCAACTCTCCTCTTCCAAGTCCAGTAAATGAAAGCGAATCTCTCTTAAAACAGAAAGTGTTTCAGGTTTCTTGAAGAAATTCTGCAAGCAAAATCGATTGCGACGCCTTGATGATGACCTGCTCCGCGACCGCGGCTGGCAGTCACGGCACCCAGATCTGGACATCATGGCACTGCTAATCTTCAAAGTCCGTTTAAGCCTACTTGGAAAGCTTGACACTTCTAAAAGCTGCTGGGTTTTGAGTTTCAAACCCGAGACTTACAGGAAATCTAATATTTGTCGAGTCATACATAGCCAGAGTCCAGTTCCAAAGAGCAAGCACTTCAAATTCAGAGTCGTTTCAACATGTTTCAGCCAACCGAAACCAAAGGGAAGCTTCTTGGGAAAATCGCGACATAGCCTTGACATAGCCTTGACGCCTTGACGCCATGAGCCAGACAACAGCCTCATCATGTCTGAAAACACAACGCCTTCAACACTTTCTCAGGTGACAAAGATGCCAGAAGTGGCCACTGGCCACGGGTCAGCAGGGGCAACGCAAAAATAACAATGAAGCATGCAATGATTCCGAATTATTCCCAGGGATGTTGATTATCAGGATTGTATATTATGGTTATATAAAGTTATATATATATATATCAGTTGTCAGTATTGCTATCATGATCGTCATGTTGGTGTTATCGCTGTTGTTATTATTGTGACTATTGTTGTCGTCAATGGCGCCAACGAGGGCGAGGAATGGCGAGGAGATGTATGATGGAAGGATTCATCATATCAATGAAATTGGTCATCGAATGTACCCTCCTAATTGCCAGGATGGAAACCCACAAGGCTGACCCTACAAGGTACAGTACATTTCCTGATATTGTGCCAACCAACGTATGCTTCACTGTGCCATGCATCAACACCTTGCACCTCAAATGAAATGGCAGTTGCCTGTGTCACCCTTTCCCTCTGCTGCCCCGCACAGCCAAGAAGCACTGATGGCTAGGAAACCATACAGAGCGGGTTGCAAACCCCAGCCAGCTAAAAGGCCACTGTGGCATTCACAAACACCTGACGCAAGTCTCAGCACTTTCCAAAATTTGATGAGAACTTACATGGTGTTGCCACCCATGCAAAATTGGGTTCTTCGTTTCTGTCTCGGCACAGAAAAAAAATATTGTCTCTTGCTTGGCCGGATATGAGCAGCCATCCATTTTTAGCACCGCAAAGTCACGGATCCAAGAGATGTAGAAGCAGCCGTTTTTATTAAACATGTTGAAACACAGGGGAAAATTCTTGGAATCCAAACTCTGCTTACATAGTTGGAGAATAATCTCAAGTCTTCTTGGATCGCCAAACCTCTCAATACGGAAAGCTATGCGCTATTGCGCGAGCAAAAGCACGTACAGTACGTTGCGTAAAGTACGATGCTCCAGGCTGGGAAATGTCGTCTTTCGGGTTCTGCCTTCTTCCCGTACTTTAGGAAGAATTGGAAAAAGGTGAAACTACTAAAGAATCTAGACATGACACTGCGGCAGCCATCAAACATGATCAAACTCCGCCATTGAAATCTCTGCGTCTTTGAAAACCTGGGCACCGTTCGGCCTTCCATAGCCTCATGTAGCCTCACTGGCCTCAACCACGAGTTGCCCAGGTTCTAGAGATTCCAAGATTGAGGCACACTCAGAGATCAGCTTTCGCATCTCGGATTGTTCCTGGGCGACTTCCCGTCATGTCTGTGGTGGACGGCTGTTACTGCCTCCTGGTATTTCGCATTTTTCACAACAAATGTGATCAACGCATATCAAAGCTATGGGCTATGGCCCCATGGCATTGTGTCCGGTGCCTGGCCTGTCGACTGTATCTGAACTGCTTGGGCGCAGCCTTCACTGCAGCAGATGCTTTGAGACACAGAGCCAGAAGGTCATCAGCTTCAGAGAGCCAGCTGATCCTAAGCACGGAGAATTCAGCACCAACGAAAAGGCCCCAAGAATTATCAACTTAGGATCAGCAAATTATTTTACTTCGAGTGATCCCCACCATGCCATTTATTCCTTTTGTTACTGGCAAATCTTCTCGCATTCTATCTGACATATCTTCTGGCATTCTATCTGGCATATCTTCTGGCATTCTACCTGGCATATCTTCTGGCATTCTATCTGGCATATCTCCTGGCATTCTACCTGGCATATCTTCTGGCATATCTTCTGGCATTCTACCTGGCATATGTTCTGGCATATCTTCTGGCATTCTACCTGGCATTCTATCTGACATATCTTCTGGCATATCTTCCGGCGTTCTATCTGGCAAACATTCTGGCACTTTATCTGGCATACCTTCTGGCATACCTTCTGACATCCTATCTGGCATATCTTCTGGCATTCTATCTGGCTTATCTTGTGGCATTTTATCTGGCATATCTTCTGGCATTCTATCTGACATTCTATCTGGCGTTCTATCTGGCTTATCTTCTGGCAGTCTATCTGGCCGTTGAGGTCTAGCGGTGCCCACTGAGCTCGGAAGGTCCCAGGTTGAGGTCCAGCGGTGCCCACTGAGCTCGGAAGGTCCCAGGTTGAGGTCCAGCGGTGCCCACTGAGCTCGGAAGGTCCCAGGTTGAGGTCCAGCGGTGCCCACTGGGCTCGGAAGGTCCCTGGCTGAGGTCCAGCGGTGCCCACTGCGCTCAGAACCTTGCGGTTGAGGTCCAGCTGTGCCGGAAGCCTTGAGGCCCAGCAGCCCACTGCACCGGAAGTTGGCGAAGAGATTAGCGAAGAGTTGGCAAGGCGGAAGTGGACATGGAAGTGGATGCAGAGGTGGCGGAGGAGAAGCTGGAGGACGAGGAAGAGAAGGAGAACAAGGAGAAGGAGGAGGAGGAGGAGAACAACTGTGATAAAATCTAACAACCCTCACCTGGCAGGTGGGGAAAAACAAAAGTCTACTTTACTGTGCCTTGTTGATACGTGTTTCACTGAGTTTCATTGTATTTCGTTGATTTCTTCTGTTCCATTCTTCTCAGAAACCACTACGACGCAGCCCAAGCGCTGAAGGCCAAAGGCAGAAACGCAGCTTTGGAGCAGCGCCGCGAGTGAACTTTGACCTCGTTTCACGGATTTGGCAGCAAGCGCCAACATTCCTTGTCGACCCAGCTGCAGGAGAATATTGCCAGGTACTGTGTGAAGCACAGTGGTAAGCCTTGCGCAGGAGACAAAACGGATGAAGCTCAAATAGAATGAAATAGACGTATGATGACGTATGCACGTGTCCTTCTCTGTGTCCATAGACATGGTATGCCCGTGGGAACGAAATGGTGGAATTTGTATAGACACATCACAATATGAAAACGTTTTCAACCCTGGAGTGCTGAAACTGCTAAAACCATGGGCCGTGGGCGGTGCCAAAAAATGGGGCAAAAGGCCATGGGCGGTGTAGCCTCGTTGTCCTTGCAGTCTCTGAGAATGGAATCTCTGCCTCTCCCAAAGCATTCTGCAGGATGCTCCGCGCTCCTTGAGACGCAAAAGACTCTGAAGGATCATAGGCTTTGGTCAACCCAAAACTAAATCGCTCAAGTTTTCAGGCTGTGAATGAATTCCGAAGTCCAAACTCAAATTTGACAAGTCATGCAACAGGCTCTTTGCTCCAAAGGCAAGACACGTTGCAGCACTTCTTGTGGCCCTTTGAAAAGCATCTCGGGGCCGTCAAGGCCTTCACCTTCCGCTCCAGAAGCTTCGTTTTGCTGCGCCTTTTGGGACACCGGCAACACCTTCAAGTCCGTGGCCTTGCAAAAGACATCAAAAGACATCAAAGACAAATCAAAAATCTCAAAATATCTCAACATATGGCTCATTATGGCTCCATATCTCAACAACTCAAAACTGAAACGATATTCACATTCCTAGCAACAGGTATTTCAAGGCAGTTTGCAGCAGTCCTACACGTTTCACTGAAGCCTGAAACTTGCATCTGTAAGTCAACTTGGGCACGTGCCTCTCTACTTGACAGATAACCAGAGACAGCCCTACGTGAAAAGTGAGTCAGCTCGGAAGTTTGGAAGTCGAAGGCATGGCCAGCATCCCTAGCATGGCCTTGTTGATTTGTCCGTTCGTCCAGAGCAGCTTCCAGATTTCCTCCAAACGAAACGCTGCACGCGCTGGACTTGCAAATCCCCAAAGCATGAAGGGTTCGTTGAGCGCAGAGACCAGTGGCGCACCAACACTGCCACCTGGTGGCGGATGGGGACACAGGCGGACAATGCTGAGTTCAAAACCACCTCCTTGAAGACAACTGTGACAAGCCAACCTTTGCATTCGAAGCTATACAAAAAAAGGCTTCCTAGGGGTACAGAACCAACACCTGAAAACTGATGCCAGCTGGATTTCTTGCAATTGTTGAGACACTAGGATCTTGTGCAAAATTATGGTACGTTCACTGCTCGACCGAAAAATCTATCTCGCATGTTTGATCTACCCTGGAAACATGAGGTGACAGCAGCTGTGCTCCTGTCGCCCAGTCTTGACAAACTCTGTTCAAGCTTAGTGACATTCACATAGCCTCAAGAGGATTTTGACAGAAACATCTTCAGCTATGAGCGAAGCTTCGGTCTGTGCCAGCCACGCTTTTGTGCAACGTTCCATGTCAAACCGGGTTTTCAGAGATCCATCTTCGTTGTATGGTCTCACTGATCGAAGAAGCTTCAGCACATCAGCATCCTTCATTAGCTTCGCAGTTGCCAAAAGCCTCATCCATCGAATCTAAGATCATCCTTTGAGACGCACATCTTTGCACGGTCAAAGACACACTAAAGTTGTAAGCGCAAAGGAAGTCCAATAACACAGATTCATGTCTCCTAGTGTACGATGGTATATGACATGTATATGAAAAATGATTAAATGTTATATTATTATTATTATGATATAAAATTATATAAATGTTATTCTGAAAATGATGTTTGCTTTCAAGATAACAATTAAGTGGACTTGTGAGTCCAGCTCAAATCGAGCAGCGCATCGTCCCAAATTCCAGGACCCAATTGTGAATTTCGAAGCACACTCACGTTGAAGTCAACCTGAACATGGCTGCATAATGCTGCATAGCCTGCATAGCTAAAAAGTTGTGCATAAGCATCACTCTTCAAATCAACGAAGCACAAAAAAGCTATCTCAGCACTGTGCCGATGCTAGAATTCTAAAGACTGGCTCTCTTCCAAGTGGCTTGTTCTGCAGGATATTCCCAAGGAGTGACTCTCAAGCACTCAAGACCCATCTTCATCACTCTACGTGAATGAAGAACCTGTCGCAATGCTTTCTGGGCCTTGGGCCAGGAAGACAATGAAAACAATGGCATGGTGGCACAAAGTATTCACGAGGCAGAACGAAGCTATGAGCTGTGCTGAAAGGTAAAGGGTGGCTTGCGAAGTCTGAGGAATGCATTCAGCCTGGCTCCACACTGGGAGCTGCACTTGTCGACATTGTTTCTCTACAAGCTGCAAGTGCTTAGTTTGGCACACAGCAAGCTTTTGCAAGCTTTTGCAAGTTCAAAAGCTGCAGCTGATGTTTTAAGCGATTTACAGATCCACAAGGGACTGTTTACACTAGAGTCTTGTCATGCCTCAAGATCCTGAAGCTTTGTCGAACCTTTTACACAAGGAAAGGTTTACATCACAAATTGCTCTTGTATCTGGTGGTGTATTTTACACAAGCGCTTTTGCGCGAAGAAGTCATTACATACGGCCACGTCATACACGAGCAATCTCCACAGCAGAAAGTTCTCCAAAGCAAACTCAAGAACTGGGGAGTATGGGCGAGTGTGGGCTTACTTAGTTTATTTAATGTTTATTTAGGTTTATTTCAAGGAGAGCTGCGTTAAACTCACAGCCAGATAAAACAAGCCTTGAACCCCTGATTTCATGTCCTGAATCACCAAGAGTAAAGCTTCAGTCAGGGTGCTGACTGAACCAGCTCGCAATCAGCAAATGCAGGGTCGTTCTGGACAATTGCAAAGCACTTCTGCAGCTTTTGGATATCGCCATTTGAGAAGGCACGCTGCAGCTGTTGGTAATGGTCCTTCGAGTGCAGTCGCTGGCGTGCTCCTTCCAGACCTGAGCAGTCCAGCTTTGCGGCATCGGGCTATGTTTGCTCCCACGATACAAGGAAAGTGGATGAAAGTGGTGGAATATCCACATCCAAACTCATCTTATTTCATCTTTATCTATGGTCACTCGCTGAATCATGCTGAATTCACTAAAGGGAGACTCAAATGATAAAATGCTGGAATCTGATCTGTCTGATTCTGTCTGATTCTGTCTGATTTCAAGGGACAGAGACTCAATGGGAATTGCGACTGCAGGTAGTCCAGGTAGTCCAATTGACGGCGCCGTCGAGTCGAGGTCGGAGCTTTCGGAGCTTTCGGAGCTTTGGCCGAGCTCGCCGAGCTCTTCATGCGCGCTCGCTCGACGCTCGATTTATAAATCACTTCGAGCAGGAAAAAACATGAAAAAACATTGGCTTTTTCCAAGCGGACAACGATGAATGAACGGTTGATGTCAAGCAAACGTCCAAGTGCTGGTGTTTGTTGCCTTCCACTGAAAGTACCCCGGTCTTGCTGAAGTTTCATGTTTTTCAAAAACTGAACACACTGAACCATATGATGACCATATGTTTCATGTTCCATGCGTTCCATCTGACAATTGCCTGAGGTGGTTAACCGCGCCTGTGCAAACATCACTGGTGCAAGTCAACATCGAGCTCTCCATGGACCAGGGGAAGTGCAAGGACCCTCCATTTGAGAGAGATGTAACCTACCACAAGAAACGCAAACAATTCGGTTGTTCTTTTTGTGTGATTGTTGATTTTATGTGTGCTAAAGTATGCGAGAACAACAATACCTGCAAGCAGATGTTTTCATCGGCCTCTGCAAAAATGATCAAAAATGATCAAAGGACTAAACAAAGTGAATTCAATGGAAACAGTTTGATCTGCAAATTCTGCAGTGTTCGCGCACCTTGGGCCAGCAATGATCCACCTCGCAATCTGCATCTACCGTGCGCGGTAGCCACACGATGTCTTTCGCGCGAGATGCTGTCAGGCTGAGCAAAGGCACCTCAATGCTTCGGGGGATTTGAATTTGACGTCGAGATCCATCATCCAAAAATTGTGAAATTAATATAATTGATATAGAATATATCAGTGAATTCGTCCAAAATATCTTCGCATCTTATCAAGGTAAAAGGGGGCACCATGAATGCTGGTTCATAATGAAGCTGGATGCAAAACCAGCTTCGACAAATGAAATGCTGTGCTAGTGCAGTCTTAGAATCTACCAGAAGTGTGAATGCTGCACTGCCAGCATCGAAACCTTCAAAAGATCAGAAATCGAGTGTCGAAACACGAGTTGCACCAAAAAAAAGCAGCAACAACAGCAAGAGCAAAGCACCACCACCAACAGCATGTCTTCAGAACAAAATGATTCTCAACTAAGATTCACAACTTTTGCAGGTTTTTGACATGGTTTCGCCGGTCGAACAAGAAAGTAGTGCATTGAAAGGAATGGAGGAACTGCTATCCGCTGCTATCCTTGACAGGAACTTTTGACAAGTGGCGGACTTTGTTCATGTAGAAATCCACGTCTCTATTGGCCTGTTTGATTTTGAGGAATCCGTGGCAAAATGTGTACTTTCTTCAGGAACCAAGGGCTTCTCAAGACGCAGTAAGGAAGCGGCACTCTGACGGGGAAATATGATATCTAGGCCCTAGGCTGTTCATAATTAATGCAGACTTGAAGGAGCTTTGCAGCTCCCCGTTTCTACATACACTATCAAGTACAAAGACTCTCGAAGTTTCCCAACCTCAAGTTATACAGAAGGTTAAGAAACACATCGTATCATGCAGTCAACTGTTTTCCAGCTCCTCGTAGATCCCTTGCGACACCAACGCCTCATGTCATTGCTGTGCAAATCTCACGCATGTCAAACATGTCAAGCGTTCAAGGCTTTCTTCTCGGCTTTGACATACTACAGCTTCTAAATTTTCTGCAGTATCTTGTAAAAAGCAACAGGTACCAGGAAACCCGAAATGTCACTAAGACGTAGTTGCTCCTCTGCTTCTTGCAAAGTGAGTGGCTTGAAATGCAGATGTACAGGCACTTGCGATACAAAGAATCAAGGGAAAGAGATTCTTCATCGCCTTTGCCGTGCTTGAGTGCTTGAGGCTACATCATGCATCATACATCCAACTCAAAGCACCAAGGGGAATGAAAAGTCAGCGCGCGCAGCAATTGCACATGAGTTTTCAAAGTGCCTTCCCGAGCCCTTCCTCAAAGTCATAAATCCTTGAGCCAGACACTCAGCAAAAAGAATCTGAATCAAATCGAATCACTTCAGTCTGCTTGGCCACACAACTTGAAGTGACTTGAAGCTGTGATCAAAAGCACTTCTCCGAAAATGTGTATTGATTCCTGAGCCTTACACCACGCCTAACTATTCTTCAAATCAGTTGCCTTCTTTGAACGACCTCTTAAAAACAGTAGAGCGATAGGCCGATGGCACAGTCTAAAACCATTTGAAGATGAGCTTTTACTATCTGTTACTGTCTGGTATTCTGCAATTTGGCACTTGGTTTGGCTGCGAAGTTTGCGAGGCAATCAAGCCGAGTCGCTGGAGGTAGAGGAAAGAGAACGTGCCCAGCGTGAGTATAATCACAGCAATCCACTCAACACCCTTCCTGCAAAGAGAAGACAAAGAGAAGACGAAGAGAAGACAAAGAGAAGACAAGCAGCTATGTATACGAAATATGTCTAGGAAGTATGCTAAGTAGAAAGAGCAGGCCTTGCTAATAGGTGCATAACAGCACACATACGCAACCAAAACCAGAAAAACCAGATGCATGCAGAAGCAACCACACATCTGAACGTCAGCGCTCTTATGCCCAAACCTTCGCTTTTTGAGGACAACTCGCTCACCAACAGCGAGCACTGGCGTATAAACCTGGCATCTCGGAGATGTCATGATCTTTCAACGCATCTTTCAACGGATCTTTCAGCGATTTGTTCAGAGGAAATTGTTTTCCAAAAGTTTAAAGAGGCATTTGAAGAAGGTATCTGTACATTTAAAGAGCCTAGTTTTCTGTGGTTTTTTGTCATCAATAAAAGCAATCCAGATGCAAAAGACGACCACTGGATGGTTTGGAGAAACCAACACTTCTCAGTGCTGCATCCAACTTTACCGGATCAAGGTGCCTCAGCTGCATTTCTGTTGTATTTTGATAACCAAAAGAATGATGCCATCGCGATACAGTGGATACTGCCCCTCAAACGGAAGCTATTAAAGTTCAAAATTGTCGTTGATAAATCTTGGCAAGTGGTGCACTTTCAAGTGTGGCAAGTCTGTTTCTTGATTGATATTCCCCGGCAGATGTGCCTGATGTTGAACACCAACGTTTGTTGCAACTACTTTTGGTAAAGCTACACGTGGGAAGTCTGCAAAACTTACAGACTGCTGGAACATACTGGAAGCAGGACAGCGCAATAGGCAGAGACCGCAGGCAGCAGGCATGTTTGGACCGCGCTGAGGACAGCAGATTGGGAGGGCCATGACCCAACAGATTATGCAAACCGTGGGGACTCCATTTGGATCATTTGGTCGACTTTTTGGACCTTTAAATTGTAGTTGTGCTTCGTTCATCTTCGTTCTATTCTCATGGCACATTGGCCGCAACTTGGAAGTTGCGAAGCCACACCACCCCATTTGCACCTTGCCAAGAACCGCTGCCATCGGTGGAGATAATCCGAATGCATAGGCCATGTTTCCTTGACTGAAGGGTGACTTGAGCTATGCCAGTAAAGACTGGCTTGCACTTTGACACAACCCAGCCCCATACAGGAATTGAAAGTGAAAGTGTTTGCACGCACAGAGAGACTCTCTCAAACTGGGTTTGTATTGCATGAGCATGTGGTCTGGTGAGTTCTGCAAACCAGGTTCCAAGGCACATGGTTACCTAAGCTTCACGAGGCTTTAAAATAGAAGCATGAAATGCATCATACATCCAAAAGCATTCCAGAGCATCGTTGAAAAAGCAGCAAACACAACTGCGGCGACAAAAAACGGAGAAGTGGTTCAGAACCAAACAATACCAAGCAACTGCTTGCAGCAAGGAGGAGCTTCCGTAGTCAACGATCTTTCGGAGATTCCAGGCTTGAAGCAGACCTTTGGTTGACCTCAGTCTTCCAAGCTGGGAAGTTCGTAGTTCAGCTAAGGTGATCGAAGGTTCAAAATTCTGATCCTACAGGTATGGCAATGGTGTGCAAGCCAAGCAGCTTTTGTTGCGACTCCTGCAATTTGGACAGGAACTGAAGTAAGCACTAGCCAAGAACTCAAAGGACACCACTTCGGATCTTTTTGAGAAAGCCAAATCCAAACACGGAAAGCCAGGCGAAACCAATGGAAGCCAGGCATTTCCATCAGACCAGAGTGGCACCTCATCTCCATTGTTGCAACCCAGACCATGCGAGCGCCAGGTCATCGCAGATGCAAAAAGGAGTCCTGCACACAAAGAAGTTATAGTTTTAGTTTTCAACGACAAAACAAGAAATATCGCAATCAAAGTGCATAAGGATTCATAAGGCTTTCCGAAAGCACTTCGTCCTACCAGAAACGAAAGGAAAGACATCGAGTTCGGGTTGATCTGTGAACCTCGACTACAGGCCCAATGCAGGCAAAACTGGACAGTAGTATTCAACTGCACCCATCATGTCAAGGCTTTTGCCAGCGATCGGAGCAATTTCTTCAGGTCGGGAAATAATTACTTGGGAAAAAAGGTGTCCATGCGTTCAAATTCTATTGGAGAGTCCTTGAACAGCAACGTGAAGGAAGCAATTGCAACAGCGAATACAGAGATTCCCAGAGGGAAGAAAGTTTCAATTCGATGTATTCTGAAAATCCTTCCAAGATCTCTCGACGGTGAAGCAACTTGCAGCTGTACCGGGCTCCCAGAGGTGAAAACACAGATGTGGAAACAACCGAGCAGCTAAAAATAGCAGTTTTCTTGGATGCTGCAAAGTAGCTTACAAGATCTTACAAGCCTGTAAGACGTGAGTTGGATCCATTGCGATGTGTTGTGAATGCTATGTGCAATGCTAAGATTCTTCGTGCCAAGGCACTGGACAACGCATAAGAATTCAGCAACGTCCGGCTCGTATCCGTTACAGCATAGACCTGGATTCAATACTTCTTAAGACACTAACATATACTCACATCCTGTGAAAAAGTCCATACCCATGAATCCCATGAAGCATGCGACAAAGTCTGAGAGTCTGAGGCCAGTGCGAGGGAGATGACAAGCATCTGTGTGTCCATTGCACTTCCGCCGGCTTCGTCCTCTTCTGCCTGGCCAAAGATGAGGAGGGACTATCGGGGGCATCGGGGGCATCAAGGGCATGTGTTGCGAGGTGTTGAGGTCCACCAAACAAATGATTCTCGATGATTCTCGATCAAGCCACCGCGGCTACCACCACACTAAGGCTTGGTTTACTGCGATGCAGCGAAATCATAAATCCACCTGTGCAAACTTGAGGCTGTTGAGGCTGGGGGGGTGCACGACGAAAGCTAAGGTTCATATGACAAATGACCCGGGAGCTTGAGAGGAGGTTCACATTAAAACAAAAACAGTGTTGGACTCAGCTGCCCCTCCCTTGCTGAAGCAAGAGAGTAAATTCCAGGTAGCTACCGCTAGCTTTCGTGATCTGGTACCCTTGCACTCCTTTGCCAGCACGTTCAGATTTGGAAGTGATGCATCTGATCCCAATTGCGCTGGCAGTGGTTGGATAAAACAATGTATATCTAATTTCAATGATTGGCTGAGTTTACGATACTGTCTACTAAATCTTGTTCTGTTCCTGTTCCCAGTCACAGAAGAAGTTCCAAACAAGTGCAGCCAAGCCTATCATTTCCTTCAGGACTTTCTGTCTGAGAGGAAATCTCGTAGCTGCAACTACTTAAGAAACAGCAACAAAAGAAGGGTCAAAGTGTACCGAATTTCTTGAGCCTTAGCTTCTTTTCAGACCGGAAAGTCTTGACGGAACAACAGTTCTGCGACAAACATGTCGTCTCCACTGGTAGAATCGGAGCCCCTTTGATCTTCTTGTCATAGCCTGAGATCACAGATGATCACAGCTTAAGCACCTCTCAACATGCTTCTGAGCAATCTGCATGAGTCTGACTTTCATATATGTGATTCTTACGTCAAACGAAAGCATTCGGTGTGGTCAAAAGCCAAGAAACATCCCCACCAAGGGCTCTCAAAATGCCACCATTCTTCCATTTCTTCCTGGATTTCCTCCTCTGACTCCTTGAGACACCAACCAAATCCATTAGTCACATTGAATGTCGTGCAAAGACGAAACACACATTGCACGAGTACATTGCAAAGACACATCACATCTGTCATATCACATGTCAGTACTGACGACAGCTTGAGAAACACCCCACTTTCATCGCACCCGCTGCACTTGCTCCGGTTCTGATTTCATCTGCTGTGTCCTCCACGGACGGAGCCACAGCCTTCACATGGTACTTTCGCTCGTCCTCGTAAACCTCTGCAGTCCTCCCAAGTCACCAAGGTTCACCGGGAACCAAAGACATCACTGCACTGCTCTTCCACTAGAAGCATGGTATTTCATCAAACGTGATCCATGATGATCCATGATGGTCCATGATGATCCATGATGATCACGGTCCTGTATAGCACGAAAGACATGTACACGATGAGTACCAGCATGAGGGATGGTCCCATTCTGACACCAAAGTTGTACCTCACTCAGATCTTCAGCGGATTCGCATCTCCATTCATTCTAGTCAGTCCAACCCAAAAAGATCTGCAATAGGATCTGCATGTCACATAACCGTGCGAACTCTGAAACTACTTGTAGTTTGGTGATCGAATCCATCAAACGTTGGCAAAAATCTGAAGCCAAGTAGCGTGTCCTTTGAACACAAATCCTGCAGAGATTCAATGCAAAGAATGTCAGAACTTTGTTTTGTCTTGTATTCATGCACACATCTTTTTACAAAATATCATCTCCATGCAAGATTGTTGGCATGCGAGGCACCATGTATATCAAAAAATATGGACAACCCCCAACTGGACGCACAGTCCAGGATGCAAGTCACTGTGATGAGTGTGATCTCGGACACCATGGTCTTCAACTGGGCAAGCAAAATCTGGTGCTTCTCTACACCGCAGATAGTTTGAAGTCACCCATTTCACAGAGTCTTGCTGGGTCAAGCATTCTACAAATTCTGCCGTCTGACCCGAATAGGCTGTTTTTGTTCACTATCATGAAAGAAAAAACATCATTGCAGAAAAGCACAGCACAATCCATGGTCGGCACTATGTCTGTCACCACATAGTGTGCAAATAGCATACTGGTGACAGCCGCGACAGCTGGTGTTTCTCCATGCTGAGATATGCCAAGATGCCACTGTACTTTGCTTCATGATGAGCAAACCTGTGAATCAAACAGTCGCGCATTGGACAGAAGCTCTGCAAACGAACTGGCACAGTGTTTGCAACCGAAACGACATGACACTTGGATGTAGCATGTGGCCTTGCAACCAAGTCCAGACGACCAAAACGACAACGTAGACATAGTCAAGGAATTGCCAGCTGCCCCAACGCCTTCGCTGATATCGTTGAACTGTTCTGACGGGTTTCTCTGGTGTCGTCCCTTTGAGGTACGTAGATATGATGGTTTGTTTGTGCTGATTTTCTCCAGGCCCATGCAGTCGAGCAGCTCGAAGGCATTGAACCTAAGCTTTCAAACAGCGAAAGCACAAACCTCCGATTTGGATGCAACCGGTTGCGCCAAATAGATCTGAAGGTGAATCTTGTATATGTGTAAATCGATGAGGAACGCAGCACCATCTTGCACATCTCATTCTACATCCCAGAAACCCATTTGCATATCAACTGCATGCCGTCTCGGATACAAAGGATTGGAAATGTCTAACGCCAAACACAGCTGTTGCAGTAGATTGTGCTAAGGAAAGGGCTCCTTTTTCACAGTGGAACTGGAATGGTTCACCAATGCCCAGGCAATACCAGCGGCAATTGCTGCAGCAAGGTCCATATTGATCTTTAACACTGCAAAGTTGTCCTGTCAACAAGCTGTTGTCAGCTATGAAGATGTGTGAAACACGGAGAAACCCAGCGGAAACTGCAGATATTTTGGTTTCAGTCCTTCCAGGTGTGGAAAAGCCGTTCACTTAAAATTGATGCCATGACATTCAGGTTCATGCCAACCTTGGCACAGAGAATGGGATGAACAGGATGAAAGATAGTTTAGTTTTGACAAGAGAGGCCCCGACAAAACCGTAGATGAGGCTTCTCACGTTCATGTTCGACTCTATCCAAAGAGCCGCCTGTCCATCGTGCAAGGACACACGCACAAAGTACCTCCTGATGCTACAGACAAAGTGGATTTTACTGCAGTGCGGCAAAGAATGCTTCAACATTGCAACGTGCCAAACCAGCGTTAGAAACCTGCAAAATCCCTCCAAACCACAGGATCACACACACATTCTCCAGCTAGAACACACAAGACTCCATGGAACACAAGAACCATGGGGAAAGGCTTAAAAGAGGAAAGAACACAATACGGCGCAAAAGGTTCCCGACATAGCAACAGAAAGGTTTCACCAGGTCATGTGGCCAAGCAGAGTGAGACTCTGAGTAGTAGAGGATAGTCAGAAGATCGGAGCTGCAAAAGCAATCAGAGCCTCTCTAGATCCGCATCGAATGTCAGAAAATGCAGGGCATTCTCGATATCTCTCACGGAGAGCAATAAACGTGCACAAGGAAAAAGTCATCCTGAGAAGTCTGTCGACGTTGCTTGGTTTTGGCAAATGGTTTTTTACATTCTACTTTCAACATAGACCTTATGTTATAGAGTTCAAGTGTCATTGCCCAATCGGTTCAGGCAAAGAGCCTTCCTATCTTTAAATATGCAGACAAATACACGCAAACTTGTCGATTCGACGTGTTTCCATCAAAGTACACATGTGAATACGCACGCATACTGTGCACATGTTGTCTTTGTTGTCCTAGTATCATTTGCACAATTGATGCTTGCCAAGGTTCATCAGGAAGCAAATCCACATCCTAGCATCTTGCGTGATGGACAAGTGTTAAATCAGGCAAACACTGAATATCAGGACACATTGTCAAGAGCCAAGGAGCATTGCAGTGTAGGGCCTTTTGAAGTACAACCTCACCGTCAATGCGTTCGCCAAAAATGATCAAACCTAGAACATGTTTTGATCACCTTTGAGTTATGTTGCTAGAAACAAAAAAACACAATGGTACACAATGGTAGAAAATGAAAACTCGAACCATCCAATTTCCCATAATTTCCCCAGCTCTTACCATCCAATTTTCCCAAGTTTCCAAAAACCGATGTTTGAAGTTTCCGGATACCAAGCGGCTGGCTGAAAAAGGCGGCCACAGGGATGCCCACGTGCGGCACCACCACGGACCAGAGTTTGGCCCCAGAAGCTTGCCCGGCCTAGGAAAACTGACAAGCAAATAAAACAAAACCATATGATATATATATATATATATTGTGAACAATTTCACCCTTGTTCTAGGTGTTACCAATTGTAGTTTCGATACCTGCTTTGCTGGTCAACCGAGTCCCGTTATGGCGCAGCAGCGACAGCACGATTCATTTTCCTTCAAGGGGCGCTTGAGCCACAAAGGGCGTTTCAAGGTATTTTGATACATGCATATGCTACATGTTCTGGCGCCTAGTTCCCTTTGACGCCCCCCATGCCCGTGGTATTCTTCAGACCACGGACACGAGAGAGGGAACTTTGAATTAGAACAGTTCTGCTACTTGAGTTACGCCTATTTACATAAAACGTGCCATTCGGCTCCCCCTTTCCCACATACCCGACGGGAATAATGGTTCCGGGTTCGCCTACTCTATGGCTGTCGATGCAACGGCGTCTCTTCAGGCTGTACATCGCGAATTGTTGCTAGCTAACATCTACTTTTCTACGTTGGCTAGGCAGGCCACTCACCCGACGGGAGAAGTGGGTCGCTTCGCTACCAAAGATTTACAATGCTAACTAACGAATTCACGTGCACTGTGCAGAACTTCGTGCAGATTGGGAATATTGAAAATCTCGGACCTAAGCGAATTAGTCTACTGCCTCGCTCAGAGTCCACTCAGTTGGTCTTTTCCTGATCATCTGTTCACAAAGACGATACACATCTTATAGTCCAGTGATCATTTAGATGGACAGAGGTAGTCGGTTTACTGCTCACGGCGGACTTTCTTCCATTGAGGTGTTGTTGGGGATTTCTCCCATCCTGCCGCACGTTTCGGAGCAGCTTTCGGCGATGAAGGCTTTGCAGGTGGTGCTTTAGATGGTTCATAGGACCTCGGCATAGCCTTAGCCTTTGGTGCACTGGTCGATGAGGATGACGCTGAACCAGTACCTTCAGGTTTCTGTGAAGGCTGGGCTGATGATTTGGCTTTCGCGTCTGCCGTGGCACGCCTGGCGCCGGCACTATCCCCGACTGCTTTGAATACCTCACTTACCACTTCGTCCCCTAGGTTCGGAGCCATCTTCATTTTCATCTCGGCCTTTCCCCTCTGCGCCTCGGCCTCAGCCAGTTGAATAGCATAAGCCATCTTGCTGACGAAGTTTTGAGGTAATGGAATTCCGCATTGTTGGGCAGCAAAGAGTAGTTCCACCCTTTGTTCCTTTTCTCTCAGACTCAGATATACCGAGAAAGCTGGGAGTTCAATGCGGTTGGGGAAGCCGTGGCTCCCGGAACGAAAGAAGGTATATGATTCATGTTCTGGAAAGGTTCCTTTCAGCAGTCGTCGGAGAAAGTTGCTGATGGTCACTCTCATCTCCTGTTTCCCCTGTGCATCAGCCTGCATCCTATTCATTGGCATGAGGAAACCTAAGGACTCGGGAGTGTACCCGGCACATACCAGAAATTCCATCATCTTTTCGTAAACCTCTAAAGTTTTGATGACAGGCATCATCATGTTTCTTGGCCGTCCAGAGTACATCTTCTCTCCCTCTGACCATGAGTTCTTCTTCCCTTTCTCCTGAAAGAGTTCGTCCAATTCCAGCTCTGTCGGTCGCTTGAGGTTGCCATCCTGATCTTCGCCTGTGTAAGGGCAGAAGTCGTCCAGGTCCAGCCGGACTCGCTTGGTTTCCGTCATCAGCGCATAGTATTCCTCTGGGGTCAGAGTGACTCTCTGTTTATAGTAGAGTCTGAACATTGCGATGATCTTTGACATCACGGCATTGTCGTACAAGTGAGCCGCGGCCTCGGAAACATCATTGTTAACAAGTCCGTCTCCTGGCAAACCCTTGCTTCCGCACGCAAGATTCTTGGTCCATGCTGGTAGTTTGGATGAAGGTTCATTTTCAGGTTCGACGTCCATCTCATCGTCGTCTTCTTCTTCAACGATTTCGTCGTCTTCCTGTTGAGTTTCCTCCTCCTGATCCATTTCCTCATCATCGCCCTCGTTGTAGTCGACCTCGTCAGGGTTGAAGCCATAGTCGTTGGATTCGGATACGTTTTCTTGTGCTTGATGGACTGTATCCTTGAACAACGATTCTTCTTGTCGACGAACCTCTTCATCGAGCTCTTTCTTTGTGGCCTCATCTTCATCGTCTTCAGGAGCTTGTAGCCGATATGGTCGAATTCCACAGCTTTCAAGTTCTGTCCAACAAACTAGACACACTGCTAACTTCGTCGGCGTCTCATTGAGGCAATGAGGACAATGACGGCAACCTGAAGTTTGCACCCTTTTGCGTTTGACTATGTAGTCAATCAGCTTGATGCGGGCCAGGTATTGCTCTTGTCCACCAGGCTCAATGAGGTTGTTCCTGAATTGGTGGACGATGTTCATGGCATCCATGGTGATCTCGTCATACGGTTGGTCTTCGGCGTCGATGCATTGACTTGCGACCCTCAGGATGGACTCCTTGGTGGCTACAGTTCTTGATTTGACAGTGCCAGACCGGACTACCTGGTCGTCGCCCGACGGGACGAACAACCGGAGCCATGTCTTGTTGTATTGATCCTTGGGATCCTGAATCCATCCTCCTTTGATCGCTGAAAACGGGATGATCTTTGGTGAAACGATCTGTCCCGAGTCAGTCAATCGACCGCCATACTCCACCATCAAGGTCTCGGTCGGGATGAATAGGCAGATATAGTCCCCCTTTCGCGTATCAACGCTCTTCGTGATGGTCCATGATCTATGATCCCATGGCACATACGGGTTGAAGAACGTGAACATCCGATGACCTTCTCCAAGACCTCCTGGAATTAACCCTTGCCTCCAAATGCTTCGGAGGTTGGTCTTCTTTGTGATGTGGAAGCAGACCGGTAATGACATGATGGTGTTGGGTGCGATTGGATGCGAAAGCAACGATGACAGCAATGAGACGTCATCTCTGGAAGATCCTTCCTTGTGCCCCGTTGGAGCGCGGACTGCCACTGGATAGAGCAGTAGCCCTTCGTCAGGGATGTGCGTGTCCGCATCGACTTTGTTGTCAATGCACGTCAGGCTGCTGCGATCAATGTCCTTGTTGATCCCGAATGCCAAGACTTGTTCACGCACACGACGTCCATATCGAGCACAGTGGAACATGATCTTGAACAGCAATGTCATGCGATAGTTCGCCTCATTGACATTCCATGCACTTTGATCATTTGCTCTTCCTTTGGGGGCGAGGAAGACGTGTGGCCAGCGTGCGTGCTCATGTCTCCAGATGGACTCACATTTGAGCACTTCCTCGATGGGCACCCAGCCGGCGTCATCACAGAACAGACTCTGTGATTCTGATACCTTCCCCACATTGTGACGTAGAATCCTGTTCAGTGAGGTACTCACCTTGTCCTCATAGCTGTCGAGTCGGTTGCCAGTTTCGAAGCGATAGTTGGCCGCATACTCCACACCGCCAAAGTAAAAGCAGTTGAAGAAATGGGCTCCCGTTGTAGGGATGATTTTCAAGAAACCATCTTGTGGCGCCTCGATTCGTTTGTAGAAGGGTTTTCTGATGTTGTTGTCAGAGTAGCTTGCAAGGAATTCTGGCACTGCCCATGTGTCACCTCCTCCTCTGACAATAGCGTCCCAGATCACTTCGTTGAGATCAACGACGTTCTGTGGTCCCAGCTTTGTAACATCACGCCCTTCAATGCAGAACCTACCATACTCATCGAGGTCTCCGACTTCGGACATAGTCCTGATGCTGTCGTACCACTGGTGTTCACTAAACCTCGGTTTTGTAGGTTCATCCGTTTGCCCCGACCCTTCAGTAGCACCTGATCCGTCCTTTTTGTGCTCAGGAGGTTCCATATCGACGTCATCAGATGTGGGACTATCAGCCTCGAGCGACGCTCGGACGGCCTTTAGCACCTTTCTGACTTCATCCTTCTTCTCATGTTCACATTCAAGGTGACCATGTTTGGTGCTACCACAGTACAAACACACATTGACATCCTCAGAGACGGTGAAGAGTTTTCCCAACGCATCCAATAGCTGTTGTTTTCTGGAAATCTCTGAGTCCCTGACTACATCAGTGGGATCATTTGCTGGCTCATCAGCTTCCTCCTCCCCAGGGTGAGCCGACGACTCGTCACCTGGCTTGGCATCGGCATCAGCGCCCATGCTGGCGTCATCCCCTGTGATGTTGTGCTTTCTTCGATACTGAGAGAATACCTGATCTTTCTCCCACTCTGTGAGGCAGCAGAAGTTGGCCAGCGATTCATATCCGGGGATTGCGTGGATGATCTTCATGACTCTTTCGGCTTCTGCAGTCTGCAGGGTGCAGTCGAATGATCCCCGTCTCTTGTCATTGATGGTGCTTGTAGTTCTGGAGGTCGATGTGAACTGGGCCAATGCCTTTTCCAATCCGTTGAGGTACTCAGCAGGATCAACGCTGGCATTGAAAACATTCACAACCCCTTTGGCCATGTTTGCCACATCCAAGACACCAAGCCAAAACTCGATGATATCCCCAGTTTTCTCAGCTGATGCACGGGAGAATCCAAAGATCTCGTTCCTTTCCTTCACCTCAGGAACAGCGACCTTCTCGAAGAAGTCCTTGTACGCGACATTTCCGCAATCTTTCGTGACCCTGTAGACCAGGAGCCACTTCTTCGCGACTTCATCATAAATTCTTTCGCGGTAGATGCTGAATTGTTTGCCGCGTCCATTCCGGAAGATTTCCAGAGCTTGTCTCTTCGATATTCTGACCCCCCCCATGTGCGATAGAGACTTCATCAAGTGCTCCCCATACGTCAATAAGGCATTTGAAATCAACGAAGATGCCGTAAACGTAAGCCATGTCTGAAATCCTTGATTGATGTCAACAATGTCGACACCAAGATCCTCAAAATGCGACCTTCAATCTGGCCGCCAGGAGTAAGACGGATTTCCTGGCCTCCAATGTTGGAGCGGAGCGCTTGTAGTGATCTTGGGTGTTGGCGGAGCAGTTGATGCAATGGGTCGGTTTCACCTGGCAT